CGTCCTCGGAGTAAGGTAAGTCGCGTGCGCGCGCGCGCGCGCGTGTGTGTGTGTGTGTGTGTGTGTGTGTGTGTGTGTGTGTGTGTGGTGTGTGTATGTGTGTAAGTCGGCCAGATTATTTTCAAAGGAAGTGGTGTTTATTCGCAGGCGAGGCGCGCGACCGGAAGGCGTATGGCCGCATCTGCATCGCGTGTTTACCGCCGAAAGAGTCACCTGTTTCATTTCGCTATCAAAGCCGGGCTCTTACCTGAGGTAAGCCGCCGCCGCCGCCGCCGCTACCGCGTTATCTCATCGCGTGCTGGCGGCAACGGAGACAAAACTACAGCCGCGAATCAATCATAAATCATTTTTATCGAGCTCAAGGTGGTGAATCGGGATCGAGGTTGAGAACGGGTGCATTGTTTCGAGATGCGAGAAGCCTACTTTTCTCCGAGACATATCAGCGAGATGAATATTTCAGCGATAAATCGGGTCAAGTCGCATATACCAGTCGTTATTTAAAAAAATTTTATCGTTTAGGAAAATCGATTAAACTTCAGTCTAAGATCATCATTCGACATCTCATCTTTTTATGTCCGCACGGAATATTCATAGTGCAAGAGTGCATATAAATGTTTGAAGATTCCTCTTTCCCTTGGGAAATACACCTGCGATCGTGATTCATCCGCATTCGCGGAAGGCGCTTTATCGGAAGAATTCTTAATGTTCGGTCAGAATAATATGTGCGGTATACGTTGTGCGGCGATATATCCTTTGTCGTCGTCGCGATTGTGCCCACTTCCGTGGGAATTCGCGGAACGGAAGTGCAATTTCTGGCCGGTACCGTCGTGGCCAGCTTCCATGGCGGAGCAGCGTGAAAAAAAAAACGATCCTTAAAGAAACGAAATGCCAGGTGCGATGCGCCCTTTTGCGTCTTCTCACGGCAAGTACTTCGGACTTAACTCGACAAAATCGTATATACTCGCGATATCAATTTCTCGTACAACGAGGAAAATGTAATTGTGACAATAAAGAATAATTTTATTGTAAAATATTGTACAATTTAATCTCTTCTTCTTCTACTTTTATATAGGCTTTTAAGCCTGTTCTACCTCACTCTCATACGCATTATTTCAGATAAGACAATATCAGAAAAGATACTTTTTATTCGAAACTACCGACTTTTAGTTTTATTAACGCCTTGCGACGAATGCTACAGGATGCTCACTCGTGACAGATGTTTCATCTTGGCGTAGTATAAATTAGGTCGCCCGTAAGTTACGTACAATTAGCTGCAAGATTCGTAATGCCAAGCACGTATAGTTCTGTTTTCTTCATTAAGCGCCCTGAAGGAGCGAAAAAGAAGGAAGAAGGGAAAAGATATTAAATACTAGATTATTTTATAAATATATTATGTATATATTTTTATCTGCCTATCTCTCTAGTTTCATGATTATATCATGATTATATGATGATATTAAATATATGATCATATATTTTCTTACAAAAAATATCGATACCGATGGAGTATAATTGCACATTCTTTTCAATACTGAATTGAACGAATAATATGTTACAAAAGTGACATAAATAAAAGTAACTTTAATATCAAATCACACATAATTCAGGTCGCTTATTTCCAAATTCATCTTGATAAATTATGCTAATTATAACTAAAAATTTGACTTTGGTTTCATAAAAACATGTTTGTCATGTCTCTTTTGATTAAAAACTAAGATCAATTAAACCGATTAGATCAATGATTCGTTAATATAATTATAAATATCTACATATAAATTACTATCTTTTAAATATAATTTATTATTTCTCTATTTTGCACTCATTACTTTTCTTAGTTGTATAAAAATTTGATTATTCTAAATTTTTTAGAAAAAATTTATAAATAATTTTTGAGATTCACGAAAAATGATCTGCGTATAATTACAAATTTACGTACGTCTCTTTTTTCTACGCTTGGAAAATTCAAGCAACATTGCATATTCTTACTGTCTATTATCAAGTAACATCATGACTTTTCATATATCAAATCTAATTTGATCTTTCTGCATCGTTTTCATTCGATTTATTATATATATTTTCCGCATTGTTTTTTGTCTCCTCCGCATATTCTTCCTGATCATTTTGTATCCTTTCATTTGTCTCCTTGAAGTCAGAAATTTCATTTTCTTCAGGAATTTCATCATTTGGTCCTACCCACTCGTAACGCCCAGGCAATGGCTTTTCGTGTATGAAATTAAAGTTCCACTTCTTCTCATCCTGCACACATTAATAAACATTAATTTTAAACAATAAATAAAGCGAGTTGGTGTATTCAAAGCAATATGAAAAGATCAACAACAGAGAAACGAGCAAATAAAGGTATTTTATTTAAATTGTAATAATTTTTTATTAAAATAAAGAATACATATTCTTTAATAAATATAATAAATATAAATACAATAAATATAATATATATTCTATAATAAAGAATGTATATTCTACATAATACATAGTACATACGTTTCTTTATTTTTTTTACAAAAAATACATTATAATTTATTGAAAATATCTTCATTTGTTCGTTTCTCGCTCGTTGATTTCTTTCATATTGTGTTTTAGTGTTAAATTATTTCGATCGACATCTTATGTTTGGCATATTTCATGAAAGAGAATTACTTTATTATAATTTAAGAGGGATCGAAAAATTTGAATACATAAAAACTCGATAGACTTTGACATGTTAATACAGATATAGAAATAAATTGAATACATAATCCTTTTGTGTACATCTTATCAAATCTTATAATATATTTTATAATATATCCTCCTATAAATCTTCTGTATTTACATATTATCAATAAAAGCTTATTTACAAAGTTATAAAATATTGACATAAGAAGCTACTGCGGTCTAATGCAATCTTATCACGCAATGTAAATTACACGAAGTTGTGATTTTGTGAGTAATTCACTTGACATGCTTGAATGAACACGTGGTATTGTTGTTATTGTATTTTGAACGCTTTCCATTCTAAAAGATTAGAAATTTTTTAATCCGATATATTTATCGGATTAAAAAATCCTCAACAAAAAGTAGAATTTTTATTGTTATAAAGTGTTATAAAATAAATAACTGCATATAATTGATTATCAGATCTGTATGAAAATATAATGCTTTTTAATTTATAATTTATAAAAAAAGAACATCTTTGTCATTGAACATCTTGATATTTTTGTTTCTTGAGTTATTCTTGCAAAATCGTTGAAAGATAGCGTTTTAAGAAAATTGCACTTCAAGTTTTCATATAGTTCTATCTAGTAGGATGTGTGTAAAATATTTTAACTTAAATCAATTAAAAATATAATCTAAATAGTACATAAAAAAAATTAATTTATTCCTATATTTAAAGTTAAAGACGAGTATATTTCATTGATTTTTCGCGCATTCAAATTTTTTTAACCTTCTTAATAATTTAAACACGAAAGATCATTTTAACAACTCAGAATTAATTTGTTAAAGAAAAATTCTTTGCTTCTCACCCGTTCTGCTTGTATTCGCATTTCTTCTAATATACTTTCACGAATGTCACAGTGTTTTTGTTGCTCGTTATTATCATCATCATCATCTTGAAAAAGTTTTTTACATACCTTACGGACTCGATCATTTTTCAATTGATTATCCATCATTGAGTGGATTCTTCTCTAAAATAAAAATTAAATTTTGATTATAATAGGTTTTTATAGATTTTTTTATTTATGCAGATATTTGTGATTACATGCTATTGAAAGATTTAAATTCAATTCTTAAATTCAATTCAAGATTAAAAAATTAAACTCTCTTATTTATTTTTTTTAATTTTATTCATGCTAATAAATAATAATAAATATAAATAATATGATATAAAAACAGTGAATCCTGTATATAAACAATTTTTACGAGTCATAACTTTTTTATGAACATATAGTGTATTGGTGTGTACATTTAATTATTTTTTTAAATAACACAGTTATAAAAAGATTTTTTCAATAAAAATTATTTTATATAATGACTTAAATAAAAGTTTAAACTTTTTGTTATACTTTTTTAATAATTTAATTTTTTTAGTGGAATAATACGTCTATTTTATTACAATTTTATAAGATAACTTGTGACAAATTCAATAATGTGCAATAAAATGTGACTTTTAGTAATCGTTCGTGACGTATTGTCATTTGCATTTGCTTTTCATTTAAATATACTGAAAAGGAGATTCTGCTCCAATAATCTGTTGGCATATAAAATATAAAATGTTGGCATATGTTGTTAAAATCATAATCCTGAATAAAGTCCTTCAAAATTCGTTGTTTATTAAAAAATTACTAACAGAAATTCGCAAATAATAAAAAAATAGAAAGTCAGTTATCAGGCAAGCTATTTTTAAATTTTTGTCGTTTTCTTTTATATTTTTGTATAATTAACATTATCTAAAGTTTTGAAAAGAACATATTGTCTCTGTATAGACAGTAGATTATTGTATTGATGTATCAAAAAAGATATTTGTGATTCTTTATACATAAGTTAATATAAAAGATGTAGTTATGTTTTAATTACTTGAAAATGAAAAATTTTATAAAACGTATTACTTTTAGCGGAACAGATTGATTTCAGATAAGCACCACTACTGTAGTAACGGTAGAGATTTTTACCGTTAGGTAAGACATATGTTTGCGTAAAGACATATGTTTATAAACAAGGATAAAGAATTAGGAATTTTAATATATCGAATTTCAAACGAATTTTAACATCATATTTCAATCATTTGCGTGCAATACATTCTCATCTGGTTTGTCTATAAGAAAATTCCTTTGTGCATCTGTGCCATAAGAAATCAATAATCCTTCATAAGCATAAGCTATCAACCTACCAAGAGAATTCTTTGTAACAACAGTACTTGGTATTAATCATCTAACCGATACGCCGCGAGTCATCGTGTATGGCTCCATTTTGTAAACAAGATGATATGCATCCAGAGTTGTGCCTTCGCGCGCGCGCGCGCGAGGAAAGAGAAACCTGCAGCTTTGTCGTACGATGTGCCGTTGGACGGACGTGTCGGAATGCATTACATTTCCGGCATGTGCGATATCGAATGGTACTTTTTATTTTTACATATTCTTAGAAGTTTTTTAATATCGCTGTCTGACAATTCCAGATATCTCGCGTCACGAATGGTTTAAAGCGAAACAGTCTAATCCGAAATTTATTGCACGTATTACAATATTTTACATTTAGCCGAATAATTTATTCTTCTTCTTATTGTTAACTAACTTTTTGTTCTTATTAGAGCTTTAAAAATTCAAAATCGTAATTAATATTTAAAATCGTATTTAAAGATAAACGGGGGCACTACGAGCTTATAGAAAATTAAATAGAAGATTCTATTTTTGAAAACTTTTTATTTATTACTTGTGAAATAATCAAAAGTCCATGTGCCATAGAAACATCTACAATATACCGGAGAATGCCCACTAAACATGCCAATTTACATCTGAATACCACGTTAGAAGTAACCCGGGGATTCTGCTTTAAGTGGGCACGCGTTCTCTTAATAATCGTCGCAGCGACGTCTATTAGGTTCGGTAAGATCCAAACGGATTCTCAAAATGGCCGGAGCCAGCGATAAGATATTCTCTTTTATGTCCTTACGCTCTTAATGATCGCGTACAAAATCCTTGCGCTTTTTACGCGCGTTCGTTAATGCAAACTGGTTTGATTCGCCGGCTCTCTCTCTCTCTCT